TTCTGAGGCAGCGAAATGGCGCTTGCACAACTTCACTACAATACAGAGTATTATTATGCATTTTCCCCCCTCTCTAATACAGTTCAGCGCTGGCGGCTGGGTCAGAAAGAGACTGCCCAACCGCGACGTGACGTCACCCAGAACGTGTTATGCGACACTATATTTTTTTACACCATTTCTTTTTAAAGATTGTAAAGCGGGTGCCTGGGTAAGGGTTCTTATTGCTTAGTTTTCGTAAGAGTTTTACGGCACTTGCAACGCAATAAGGTCATAAATAGGTAACAAATATTAGAGATGTTAGATGTTACAAACAAACACAAAAAGGAGTGAAAAAGACAACAGCTCATGTTTGATAGGGGAAAAAAGCAGCAAACCACACCCGAGCACCCGCCAACCAGGGTTCTTATCGATCGCAAGCAAAATATAATACCGTGCAGTCTGCTAGCTTACATCACGAATTAAAAAGCCCGCGGCCGTTCATTGAAAGCTGTGGCACCTTTTGAAAAGCGTTCTGATCCCGCTCTTGAAAAAAAACACCCACGGCAACAATAAAAGTCACTATGCACCAATATTCCCTCTCAAACAGTTACATAAAAAAAAAATGAAACCAGTCACGAAAACGTGTATGTTCTGCCTCTAAAAGGGTCAATAATAGAAGCAGCGAAAACGTGTAAATAAAAACCTCACCTCTAAGAGTGTTAATGATGGAGGTTGGAAAACGTGTAAATAAAAACCCCACTTTTAAGAGTGTTAATGATGGAGGTTGGAAAACGTGTAAATAAAAACCCCACCTCTAAGAGTGTTAATGATGGAGGTTGGAAAACGTGTAAATAAAAACCTCACCTCTAAGAGTGTTAATGATGGAGGTTGGAAAACGTGTAAATAAAAACCCCACCTCTAAGAGTGTTAATGATGGAGGTTGGAAAACGTGTAAATAAAAACCCCACTTCTAAGAGTGTTAATGATGGAGGTTGGAAAACGTGTAAATAAAAACCCCATTTCTAAGAGTGTTAATGATGGAGGTTGGAAAACGTGTAAATAAAAAAAACCCACTTCTAAGAGTGTTAATGATGAGGTTGGAAAAAATGTAAATAAAGTATGCCCCACGTTAAAAACAGTAACAAAAGAAATCATGAAAACGTAGAAGCAGCTTCGCAAAGAAGAACAGAACACATCCCAATATAAATGCATATAATGTATAAATACACATGTATGTTTTATATGCGTTAGTTTTAGTATGCCTAAAACGTTTACGGCACTTGGAGCACAAAAAGGTCACAACATAAGTGCCAAAGATTAGAGGTGGTTGCAAAAGAGCGACACACACAAATAAAAAGGAGGAGAGATAAAGACAGTAGATGTTTGACAGGGGGAAAGAAGGAGCAAACCACGCTAGAGCACCCCCCCCCCCCCTAAAAAAAAACCCAACAACAACAAAAAAACTCAGAAAAACCACATAGACGCATGAATAAAACACACAATATCACAAAGACAACCAGCACACCATTGTCGGTAGCCACTGAGCAAGCGCCTTGGTTTGTTTGTTTGGTTGTAGGTTTCTTTTTCTTTCTTTCTTTTATATAAACCAAGGGTTTATCATGTCTCGCTCAGCGGCCAAAATATCAACAGACGTCATATCGCCATTCTATTGGCTTACAAGTGCGGAAGGCATGTTTGGACTTTGCTAGTTCTCGTTTCATCTTACTTTTGGAAAGGGGTCCGGAAAGATTTTCCTCCCGGTTCTTGCTACGTTCTCTAAAACTGAAATTAAAATATCGGGCAAAAAGGGGATTTATTTCTGCCTTTTACTAGCATAATATTATTATTATTACTACCCTGTTGGACTTCTCTCTTGAAAGTTTTAGCTTTAGTAAGCGTTTTACGGCACTTGCAACACAATAAGGTCATATAAAGTGCCCCTTGAAAGCATACACGTATCTCATTTAAGCGCTACTATATGATTAGAACCTCGACGCATGACCATTGCCTTGTGGGTGAAATCAAAAGTCGAAAATAAAACATTAAAAACAAAATAAAGCACGGGCAGACGCGTACTAGTAGTAAGAAAAAAGGGGGTTAATCACATCTGGTCAGAAGCCACGGACATAAATCTCGGCAAACCACCCGAACAGCCAGCCGACTCATCATCGTGAGAAAAACAAAGGGAAGTGACACTCGTGATCACAATTAACATTAGATCTTTTAAAAATTATTCAGAGAAGAAGTTAGAATGTTACTCTGATGAAAAGGAGAACGTTTACTATGCCCCAGCAACGAGGGGGGTTTTTTTTGTTTTTTTTTTGTTTTTTTTGGTAAGGTTTAGCAAGAGTTGTTTATTTTTTGCTTTGCTTTTTTGTTGTTGTTTGTTTGGGGGGATGGGTGGTATTGTTTCACGGCGCTTGCAACTGCATAAGGTCATATGAGAGCGCGGGACACACTAAAACTTTTCCGAGTTGGTAAGAAATTATTTTGAATTTTGCCCGGGTGGCGGCTGAAGCCTACTCTTTTCGATTTTGGACCACCAGGGGATCTTTAACGTGCGCAACTTGCACACGTGTGTGCAGATATTTTTCACCCTTGTCCGAGAAGGCCAGGTGTGGCTGAAATATAGCAGTAAGAAGGAACCAAGGAGGAACAGTAGAAAGGCTGCTGAAAGAGTCAGGCACCCAGAGAGGGGACAAAGGAGATGAGGGGTGGGGGCACAAAGTGGAGACGAAAGCAGACAACAGAACATTGTTAGAGAGCAGCAAAGGATGTGGAAGGAGAAAATTGTAGAGAAGAAAATTTTCCGTCGCTATTCGGATCCAAACCCGGAACCTATTGAATGAGAAGCAAACACCTTAACCTCTAGGTTACGACAGCCCCCTAGTAAGAGGTTTACGGCACTTGCAACACGATAAGGTATGCGTGCCCGAGATAAGAGGTCAAACAAGACAGTAACGAACATAAAAAGAAAGGAGGAAAGATAAGGACCATAGATTTTTGATAGAAGAGGAAAGAAGAAGCAAACCGCACCAGAGCGCCCACTAACCACGGACCGTCACTGACACTCGTGATCACAATTCACCGTCTTTTTTTTTTTTTAAACAGAAGAGAAAACAATTTTACCAACACAAGCAGATAATACGTTAAATAATTCCCCTAATAACCAGTGAAAATAATCATCCTAATCCTACGTAGCCCATCCGAATTTTAGATTTATCAGTACTCTGAAAAGAAAAACTTTTGAAACTGTTTCTTGTTTTTTAGTTTTAATAAGAGTTTTACGGCACTTGCAACCCAATAAGGTCACATAAGTGCCGAACATTAGAGGTATTACAAAAGAGTAACAAACACAAAAAAGAAGGAGGGGAGATAAGGACAAAAGATGTTTGATAGGAAAGAAGGAGCAAACCACACCACAGCACCCGCCAACTGCCCGTTGTTTCTTGTTTATTTGAGTAAAGCACATCGACACAATAATGGTCATTTAGTGCCATGAAAAAGTAAGACAGAATAGAATTAAGAGAGGCAAAGTAAAGAAGTAGGATCTACCAGTAGCGCCCTCCAACCACCAGCTAATTTTCTAAAACACGCCAAACAAACATCACACAACGCCCCATAAAACACCCGCACAATATACTGAAAAGGCTAAAAATCTTCACTTTCTGAAATGCAACTTAATTGTTGGAGCTAACAGGGGAAAATATGATTCATTTATTCAAAGCAGAGAAATGTCACTTAATGGCAGACCTGCAATATCCAAAACTGAAATTAACAGCAGGTGTTTCTGACAGCTGTAGCAGTGCATAAAACATTGCTAATAATACTCTCGCACTGTTAGACACCCTGATACCATCACATTATGCGTCATTCCCAATGAATAATGAATTAAAGCATTCCTACTGTGCCAGAACAATCCCTTTATTGAAAAAGCTTTAAATTATTCAATTTGAATTAGAAAACCCCGGACTGCATTAAATCAGGCAATTGGCGCTGTTACTATAACCAAAGATAGTAAATAACAAGATGGGCCACTCAGCCAAAAAAGTGTCTGCAGGAAGTATGCTCTTTGCTTCAGATGGCGCTGCAGTCTGTTTTGAAGCTCTCTTTCGTTTTTCCAGAAGAAGAATAGGAATAGCACCTCCTTGCGTGCGCAGATCGACTGCTGTTCATCAGTAGTTCGGGTTCGTTCAGTGCGGAGTTTTAGGTTATTTATATTTTAATGACCTCTCGCCTTTCATTCTAAAGTCAAATTAAACGAAGAAAACAATCACCCTTTCCTCCGGAAGAGGTTTTTTGTCAGCGTAACCATTTTAAAAAAGCGTTCTTCCGAATTTCATTCAAAAACTTGCTAGTTTCACTTTGATTTTTTAAAACTCAAGTAGGATAACTCTGTTCGCAAAAGGTGCGCTTTTGTGAAGAGGGCGCCACCGAATTTTGAGGACACTTTTTTAATTGGCTCAAAGAGAGAAGTGGCCCCTCTTGTTATGTAGACTCATTGCTATAACATCAGATCATTATTCATCAGAGGTGCGCACAGGCTACATTTTAAAAAAACGTTAACTTTTCAGCGCATGCACTTGGGGACTCACAATCCACAGATCATTTTGTTTAAGATATCTAGAATGGAGACTAATATTGCAACTACAACAACTTCTCAACGTTCGGTCTGAAGTGAGGCAAAAATTCAGACAATTTAGAAGTCCTGATTTCCGGGTTTATAAAAAATTCCACACCTCTAATTCACAAAAGGCAGCTTCGATTAACACAGAATAAAATCAAATTAATTGTTTATAACGACCGTCCTGTAGTGCAGTATCCAAAGTGATTTGGTGAAATGTGTGCTGCTACATCAAGACAAATGAACATGATTTTATTTTGCGGAAGTCAAAGAGAAGAAAGTTTTAGTCAGAGTTTTACGGCTCTTGCAACACAATTAACTCTGCCGAAGATTAGAGGTGTTACAAGAGAGTAACAAATTCAAGATAGAAAGAAGAAAGATCAGGACAACAGATATTTGACAGGAGAGAAGGAGCAAACCAAACTATAGCACCCGCACACCACCCACTAAAGAGAAGAAACACAAGGACATGTTTTATTAATTATTTCGCAACATACAAGATTCTATATAACCAGAATACAAATTCTCTGACCTTGTTGCTGACTATTTAAACATGTACCACCCGCAGATAAAAGCAAAGAGAAGAGAACAAAAAGTAAATAAAGAGCACAAACCTCAGTGATAATTGAGACTTGAAAGAAACCTCTCCTTTCATTCCCATTCAAATACTGGAGAAAACATATAATGCAACTTACCTAGGCATACTGGCTTCCGACATCCATAATAAATCCATGTTACAAGCCAGAACCGGTAGATGAGGGTATGGGATTTCCAACAAGTCGTTACAAGGTTTCCCATTGGTCAGCAAGACATCAGTTATTATCTGTAGTGGCATTTCCCATCTAACAGGCTCTCCAAAAAGAATCACAGCTGGAGAAGCAAAATCACAATGTTAGTGGACTTGACTTTATATGAGTCTGAATTCACAAATCAAGACATGTTTTTTCACAACAAAAATAGCAAACAACTAATACAAAGACAACCAACTTGTAGGTGTCCCGTGCGCTCACATGAACTTGTGCAGTTACGAACGCTGTAAAACTTCCATAAACTAAAGTAGCAGGAAAATTATCTTTCGATCACATCATAAATTACTACAGTTCACTTATTGCACAGTTAGTCGAAAAAGGAGCATTGTCCAGCTATGGGCTCAAAACAGCAAATTGATATAATATGAAAAATTTGTCAGCATCTTACTTCCAACACAACCAATGGAATATTTTTTATGCCAATATTATTACACACTATCTAAATTATTTTTCATTAAGTTAAGTTCATGTGTAATCAAAAGAAAAAGTTCTCACCATCAATTCGAGGAAAATATTCTTCAAATGCACAAGGCTGTGGAGTGAAATAACAAAAGTTTTAAGGAAATAAAGATATATAATTTTTCATTTAAACACAGAGGATCATCAACACAATACATAATCAACTTACTACATGGCCACTGAAAGCATCCAATGTAAAAAAAAGTAAGAAGGCAGCCATTCTTAAATTTTAAACAAGACAAGCAATTCAATCGCCTTGATAACTGGCTCAGTCGAGACTAAAGACTATAGAGATATAGGATATTTAGTAGATACTAAATTAAATAAACTGTTTAATAAACTGTTGGCATAAAGAAGTTAAAGCAGAAGAAGGAAGTGAAGGTAAACAAAAACACCCCCCCCCCCCCTCCTGACTATACTACCACCCTTTTCCCCTAAATTAACAAAAAATTCAATTCTCACTTACAGCAGGTTTTCTCCTTAGATGATCCATTTTGTCAAGATTTGGAAATTGTTGATTCAACTCCTCTGTGGTGGTTACATGCGTGAATCCGATGTTCTGAGCAATCTCTTTGATGGGGCCTTGCCCATTGACCAGACAATGCTTGTCATGAAACTGCCGAAACATCTTGAGGGGACTATGGGACATCACAACTTGCTCTTCTGACACCTGGGAGCATTCACAATTTATTATAATTTGGGTTTGCAGCCTCAAAAATACTAGAAATGAGGTTTTCAAGAAACAGACTTATTTTTGCAGTATCTAGCTTCATTATCAAGAGACGAGTTGCAATAAAAGTGGAAAAAAAAAAGGAATTCTAAAGACAGTTTTAAAAAGATACACATGTAAAGCTTTTTAATATAGATTTCCATACTTTTCCCTTTCTTTGATAATGGTCAAATCTACGACAGTTAAGATCTTATCTTACTGGATCGTGAGGTAATAATAAGTATGAAATGATGTACGTTTCAACATAAAAAGGTAATTTAAGTGATGGGACCTGTGATGTAATGATTTAATTTGAGGCGAGTGGACGCAGAGCCATGAAAACTCCCCAGACAACCCAAATAAATTCAAGAAGACCCTGTAAACTGGCCTCTGTGGTGCAGCAGTTGGGCACTTCACTGTTGCAGGCAGGAGAAGACCTGAGTTCGATTCCAGAGTGAGGAGAAAATTTTTATCAAGTATCTTGGTCTTTCTACTGGGATGTTGTATCCCTCTCAGCCCAGCTTGGCCCAGACAGAAAGGGTCGGAAGGCCAACTCAAACTTCAACACCAGCATGAAAAACAGGAGCTTACCTCAATATCTAACCATTCCGACAATTGTTGAGCCTTTTTACTCCGTAAAGAATTCCCAGCATTCGTGACGAAAAGTGTTGGAACTTTGAATTGTCTGTCCTTTGTTAATAGTTGAAAAGCTTGTTTTGCCAAAGGCAAAGGTTTCTTTCCACGAACAATCACTCCATCAATATCAAACAAGAATCCAAATTCACACTTGTTTGACAGAGCACTCTGGAAAAAAAAACATGAAAAAAGTTTCAAAGTATCACAAATAATGTCAGAATGAGCAGAAAATAAATTTTTAATTCGCATAATTTTCTAGAGCAGTAGACAGAATGACCACCCATTGTCAAGAGAAAAACGGTTCATCACGAAAACAGGACTGACCAAAATGGATAAAAAATGAAATATGCCGGGCAATGAAAGATTTAGTATTAAAAAGCTCAGGGGGTAATGGAAAGTAGCCTTCCGTACAGAGACGTTAGTCTACAGGTAACTGCCAGGGCAGTTCTGTCAAAAAACTGAGTATTAAGGCAAAAATTATAAGTCCAGTAAACCTCTGTTAATGTGATACCAAAAGTTATAATGCACACACACACCAACAAACAAATTACACAAGTTACACAACAAGCCTATTTCATGAATTCATACACATCACATACAGGCACCCATTAGACATGTTAAGGTTTGACCGTAAGCTACCATGCCATCATGTGCGTGTGTATAAAATTTTTAAAAGATGCATGATAAAAATTTGTAGTCAAAAGTCACACTTTCTAAATTTAGAAAGAATTGTAGAACCAAATTTAAGTCAGGCTAGGCTTGTCACTTCGTTAATAGATAGTTGAATATCTTATACGGGGTGCCCATCAGGGCAGGTCGGGTCAATCACCGACTCGGTCACCTGAAAACAAACACGTTTGTGTTTGAGTTGGCGAGTCAAGCCGACCTGCCGATCCCGTCCGTAATGGGCACCCCGTATTAAATTATAACAGGATTTGCTTTCAAAATAAGCTCTTCTTGCTCTTTCACTTCCAAGTTTTAATTTAAAAAATAAGAAACCAAGCAAACTGATTAACATGAAGCTACAGCGAGCACCTTGCACATCTCTGTGATTGGCTACATTACGTATTTCCGTCATCTATTTTTGTCGTCCTCCGGGTTTTCCTCCCAAGACTCAAATTGGGTTTCCCTCGCCACGACTTGTCAGTAACTGTTGACAAGATCTCGCTGTGTTTTAGTTAGTTTTTTGGGGTATTAAACCCCGAGTGAGAATAACCCATGTCTCGCTATTCTCATCCCCCCCCCCACCCCGGTGAGAATAGCTCCCACCCTGGTGTGGGCATGAGGCGAGGACTCCCCCCTGACCTCTCGCAGGCCAATAAAAATCACCTTTAGGCCCTTGGTGGCTTTCCACATGTGATTGGGAAAGAATAACTACAATTTTATAATGTAAAAATGTTTTTCGCCTCTCCAGTAAAAAAAAGGCTCACTACCGAAACTGAATGAGATGCGGGACAGGCCATTCGTTGTTTACACACACGTTGACTGGCCTCTCTGCACACAATATATTATGGTTCAAGGAACAGAGAGCGTGTACGAACGTAATGAGACACGAGCACGAGACCAGCTCTTGCACGACAGTTGAAGGGTTGTACAAGTAAATTATTCAGACCAAATGGACGAGGGCGTTTAATCGTGTTAACTAGTTTAATAACTTTAAGCAATCCAAGCTCTTTTCTTCACTTTCATTTTTATTCTTTTATTCTTTCTTTTTCTTTTTTTCCCTTGCCTCTTCTGTTCCCTTCTTCTCTTCCACACTTGGAGTTTGGAGCCAAAAAAAGAGCCAGAGAGCCATTGAATGAAATTCTCCGGGCCAGACGCGATCCAAAAGAGCCAAACTTCTGGGATTTGGCTCCAATTACGACCAATTTGACAAACCTGACTGACTAGATCTAGATGTATGTCTATTCCGACACCAACACGATCCTGTAGAGATTAGCCCCGGTAACCTCATCCCTGATCCCTCTAGGGTCATTTCCGGTAAAACAAAGGAGGGGTGAGAATAGCGAGACATGGTTATAAATTCTCACCCGTGGTGAGAATAACCACTTCCTTTATAAAAAGTCTTAGCAATTCTCGTACCATAGATTTACCTTCTCTTCAAAGTTGTACTCACACACACACACACAAGCGTGTGCGCACACACACACACATTATGATTATTATATTATCGTGCGTGCGCTCACACACATACACACACGTGTGCATACACAGCCCAACCAAGCAGTCGGCGATGAAACCTAGACCTAGTGACGCATGCTTTAAAATTGTGGCAAAGCGGGCCCGCCACGGAGGTGAGACTAGTCAACTGGCGAGGGAAGCCCCAGAAGACGACAAAAATAGATGGCGGAAATACGTCATCTATATTTGGTCCAATAACAGAGTCACAGAGGTGCGCTAGGTGCTCGCTGCAGCTTCATGTACTGATTACAGTTGATTACTACACTACAAACTAATTAAATACAGCCTAGGATGTGGAACCCAGACTAGACTAAGAATCTCTCTAGACTTAGATCTAGTTCTAGTTCTAGGCTTACTGGATAGCCAAGCCACATCAGGAGTAAAATAAAAAGATATATTGTGCATTTTTGTTATTTATATAAAATTTTATCGAAGTGGCTAGCCGCACTTAAGACTTAAGTACGGCTAGACTGCCAGTCTAGCCATACTTAGATCTAGGTTTGGCCCTATCGACACAAGCCTGTTAAGTACACAGGTCTCATTAGATCTAGATCTAGTAATTATTCAGGTTCAAATACATGCAAGTCAGTAAGGCACCTTTTGGTTTTGTCTGAAATACAAATACTTTAGGCATAAACTAAAAATTTCATTTACAATTCAGCCATCAATATTAAGTACGGCTAGCCTGACAGTCTAGCCGTCCTTAAGTACGGCTAGCCAAGAAGTCTAGCCGTACTTAAGTACGACTAGACTGCCAGTCTAGCCGTACTTATCTTACGCCCTATTAACATTAGAAAACAAGAGGTTTAAAATACATGCACTGTCATTAAGGCACCTGGTTTCGTCTCAAATACAAATACTTTAGGTACTGTAAACAAAAAATTTATATTTACAATTCAGTAGGCCTGTTATTTTTAAATGGTCAGTCTAGCCAGTCTAGCCGTACTTAAGTACGGGTAGACTGCCAGTCTAGCCGTCATTAAGGTCGGCTAGCCTCTTCCAAATTTTATTCCGAATGTCTGATCACTTGCCTACAAGACTAGATCTAGATCTAGATCTAGACTCTATAGGATCTAAAAGAGTCCACCACAACTCAGCAATTTATTAAATCACCACAGTGCCACAGTAATTTAACAAAAAAATTTAAGTCAACAATTTTCTGTATTCCTCAGCCAAGCATTTTTAAAGCGAACAGAATCAATAACGACAATCAACGAATGAACGAAGTTAAGTCACTGTCCCAAACTGGGTTAGAAAAGCAGATCATCTGCATCAGCGGTGACTGTTGTTTGTGAGGGGCTTCTGGCCACGTCTTTTTTTTTTACTCTACCTGTCTTGTAACTTGTTATTGCCTCTATAGTATAGTCCTATGTTATAATGTATACATTCATTCAATGATGCAACATTTTATAGATCTATGTTAATATACGTCTCCACACGAACCAAGATGCACAACAATTAAAAGAACGAATACTTACTTGGGTGTGGAATTTTTTCACATTGACAGCACTATTCCTTACACTTGATGAAAGATGTTGCAAGCAAATATTATGCTGTCGGCAGTGCGCATGAAGCGCTCGCCGACACGCCATTTTGTCAGCTGTTTCGAGAATAACCTTGAGGTAGCAGACAACCAGAGGTGTGTTCGGCTTGGCCAATCACATTCAACTATTATCTATGACGTCAATAGTAGAGAAGAAAAACATTCGATGACTTGCAGCTTTCTATCTAGTATCAGGCAATCTTCAGACAATTTACCTTCTTGAATGCACGTTTCATCTCGTAATCAACCTGATATAAATAGTCAGAAGGACTTTTTCATCTTCCTCATCCAGGTTTCAAGATTTCCCTTGGTCTATCCAAAGAAAATAATAGCTGATAAGAGACGAACTTTGCCAATGACGTTCTATTTCCGGAAAAGGTTATGACCTGTTAGTTATGTAAACAAGGTAGCCTGACAACCTTAGCCAAAATACTCAAGCAGACTCCGAAATAATACTGTATTTTAAAAAAGAGAAAAGAAAAAAAGTACGTATACATGTTTATTACCATCTATGATTAAGTGTATTAAATGATTTAGATCTATGAAATAATGGCCATTTGATAGCAGAAAGAGTGGGTGGTAAAAAATGTTTTCAATTTTCGGTGATCGGGATGGATTTGCCTTCCACTCCAATCCAACTTCTATGGAAAGGCGAGGCTTCGAGTTAGACACTAGATTTCTAGACACACACACACACACACACACACACGCGCGCGCGCACACACACACACACACACACACAAACACATATGACGCATGTGCACACTCACACGCTCATATATATATGCACTCCCACACAAACACACACACACAAACACACACACAAAACACACACTCACAAACTCATACACACTCAAACATACACACACAAACACACATTCACACATAGATTGAGAGAGAAAGAGAGAGAGGAGCAATTAATAAAATTAGTTTCCTGTTAAATATTCACTTAGGATCAGTTTTGTGTAGACACTCAGATGTCCTTTCCATAGTAGATTTTACTATTTCTTACCATCAAGAATTCAAGAATTTAATAAAGAGGCTTTTGGAGATATGCAGTAGGGACAACATCAAAATTGTTATCCACTGATATTTGTCATTAATTTATTAATAAAAACTTTTCAATGCACATGTAATTTCCTCAGGTCTTCCTTTTTTTCTTAAATTTATTCACAGTTTCAGGCAGGATCTAAATTATAGCCTAATAATAAGATGAATCACTTGCTTCCAATTCATGGGCCTTGTCTTCGAACCATATCAAAGAGGCTATTGCAAAGAAGTCTACACATTAGATCAAGATCTATATCTTCTGAGGGTCGTGCTGTTATGAATTCATTGTTTTGTCAAGTTCAAAACAATAATTCATTGCACAAAAGGTGCTTATGCCAGAGCGCAGGACTTGGTAAATCAGACCTCACAGGAGTCACCAAGGTAATTCATTTATCATTTTTTTTCTTGTTACCTTTTTTTCGAGAGGGGGGGGGGCTCTTTGTTTT